TTGCGGGCCGGGGCGGGCCGGGGAGGCGGGCCGGGGAGGTGGACCGTGGGGGGCCCGCCCCACGCGCTCCGTCACCTGTTGCTGGCGGGCGGTGGCGAGTGTGCGGGGCGGGGCGCGGAGGAGCGCACGGACCCCCCTCCTCTGTTCCTGCGGCTCGGGCCCCGCTTCCCGGGGGGAGCGGCCGCGCTGACCCCCTCCTTTCACCTGGCGGGCGGGGTGGGGCAATGGACTCCGGGGTCCCTCGAGGCCCCAGGATTGCGCCCTGGGGGCGGGGACCGGTCCAGGAGGCGGGGACCTGGCCAGACCTTAGACTGGAGATCCAAGAGGCCCCGGGGCTGCCCTGAAAGGCTAGCCTTCCCCTGGCGCCGTCGCTGCGGCCACCCTTCCATCCCCAGGCCCCGCGTAGTTTCTGCCCCACCCCCTGTTGGGAACAATTCGGGGGATCCGCCTGAGTCGCTATACTTGGTGCCCTGACGCTTCCCGACTCCAGTGGGGAGCCCAGGGCCTGGGTGACAGAGCAAAGGGGAGGGGTGCTCGGGGCCACGCGTCCCTATGAATCAGTGTGGCACCCCGGTCACCGTGGGAACGATGTGTTTGCAGAGTTTGAAAGGTGTGGGCTGCTCGGAACGCGGTTTATGACTGAACGCGCTGTGCTCTGCTGGGGTTGGCGGCTGAATAAGGGCGACTCAGCTGCTTAAAGGGTCAGGTAAGACCTGAACTTCCAACGCGGGCGCTGGTGGAGTCGCCAGAAGCAGGGCTTCCTGGAACTCAGCAGTGTCGGCTCTAAAATGCACCATGGACAAGTGGCCTTTTTTCCCCCAAGGGACGTCTCTCCACCGTCCCTCCTTTTTCTTGTGAACGAGCTGTGTTTCAGCTCAAGATTTTCATTTCTGTTGAAAGGTGAAATGTTCGCATGCCGTCTGTTCCTTGACCCCCTCTGTGAGCTCTGAAGCGCTGTTCTGGAAGCACACACACTAAATTGTCTGCAAGAAAAGCTATGAATGCCACGCTTGGGATACAGAATGCAAGGCACCACAGGCTCCCAGATGTTGGTGGTTCAAAAGAACAACCATTTTATTTGTTTATGACTCTGGGGGTCAGGAGTTGGGGGTCTGTGGTTGGCAGGTTCTTCTGCTCCGTGTGGGAATGTGGGCTGCTCCTTTATCTGCTGTCCACAGGCGGCTGGACTGAGTAACCATTGTTATCAGAACGGACTCATAGCTAGACTCCAGGGGGGGTTTAAGGGTGTAAACCACTCAGGAAGTGACTGCCTGTCTTTTTCCTGTAGAACTTCTGGGCTGGACCAGCCACACAGGCAGAGCTTTGGGGTTAGAAATGCAACTGTATGGACTGAGCTCCCACCTTGAACTTGCTCGCCTGATTTGAGAAGCTAAACTGGGTCTGACTGGTTGGTACCTGGATGGGAGACTGCCTGGGAACACTAGGGCAGAGCCAGAAACTCCACAATTCCCTTACTCATTCTGGCACTTCAGAGCTCCTCCACCTGGCCTTCTCCCTGCCCGGCCACTGCCTCTCAGGCTTCTGTTCGAAGGTGAACCTTCCCCACAGCCTGGTGGGCCCAGAGTATAGCAGTAGGGAGTTGTCCTGCCCATGCAAAGGTATGTGGTTGGAATCCACCAGCCGGTCACTAGGAGACAGAGGAAGTCTCCTCTTCTGTGATTTACTGCCTCCGAAAACCTGCTAGAGGGTCAGCTATGGGTCACTTCCAACTCAGTGGTACACAACAACAACGTAATAATGACAGCTGGCGTTAGGGTCCTCTCATTGCTTAGGGGTAAGGAAGTGCACTGGCAACGTGGTTCACCCCCACTAGATGCTCTGCTGGAGAGTAGGATGCAGTTTTCTCCCATGTGATTTAGGCTGGAGAATCAGTCAAGGGTCGGACAAGAAGACAGCAAGCTTCTGAGAAGGAACACTCCAAGATAGGCAAAGGCAGAGGCTGCAGGGTTCTTAAAGCCAGCGTTAAAAGTTAGAAACTAGGGGAGCTCTGGTGACCTAGTGGTAAGGAGCTGCAACTACAATCCCAGAGGCGCACGGTTCGAATCCACCAGATGCTCTGCCGGGGAAGGAGAGACAATCTCCTTCTGTACCAGTCAGATCTGATTTGACGATACACACACACAAAAATATTAAAATAAAAACTAAAAAAAGTTAGAAACTATCTAAAACAATTATGAGATAGCATCTCATCCCAGTAAGAAGAGCAAAATTTAACAAAGAAGCAAACAACAAATGCTGGTGAAGTTGTGGAGAGACTGAAACACTTATTCACTGTTGGTGGGAGTGTAAAATGGTGCAACCACTATGATAGGCAGTATGGCACTTTCTCAAAAAGTTGGAAATATCATTGCCTGTATCCTCTACAAAAAAAGGGGAAAGGGAGGGAGGGAGGGAGGAAGAAAGAAAGAAAAGAAAAAAGTTGGAAATAGAAATTCCATTTGACCCAGCAATTCTACTACTGGGAATATACCCTAAAGAAACAAGACTGCCACAAAGCAGATATATGCTCACCCATGTTTATTGCAGCTTTGTTCACAATAGCAAAACGATGGAAACAACCCAAGTGCCCATCAACAAATGAATGGATAGAGAAGCTGTAGTATATTCACAAAATAGAGCATTATGCAGCACTGAAAAACAAAGAACTCATGACATATTATACAAAATGGGTGACTCTGGATGACATTTTGTTGAATGAAATATCTCAGTCACAAAAAGACAAATACTGCACAATACCACTATTATAGAACAGGACTGATAAGGGGTCGGGGGGGGGAATAAGAAAAGAGGGGATAAATAATGTACACAGCATTGAAACAGATGAGGGAGAGAACGATATAAAAGGAACATGTGATTAGGTATGATTGGCATGACAAGAGTCCAGAATAGAGAGCTGCATAGTTAAGTGGTCCAGGGCGGGAGTAGGGGGTGGCTACTATATAACAATGAAAGAACTTTTTTCCAAAGAAAAAAAGCAAATGGGGCGGGTGGGGGGCAGGCGGGTGGAGGTACAGGGAGGAAAATGTGCAACAATGAATGAATGAAAATGCAGAGTCTTTATAAACTTTCATGAAAATAAATTATTTTTAAAAAAAGTTAAATACTATCTTTTCATCACATTTTACCAGTTAAATTAAAAACTGGTAAAACTGCTTAAATTCAGAAAGAGGCGAACGAGGTACCTTTTCTGTAAGACATGGGTGGCAAAGAATTGGGACAACCTTTTAGTACACCTCCGTGGAATAAAGATACAACTTCACAACAGCTTAAATCAGCTTTTCCTGATTAATTTTCTATTATGTTTTCTGTAAACCTAAGAATAAACTTTTGGTTTTCAGAGGTTTTCTGTTTGGGTTTTTACTTCAGAACTGGAGAGAAGTGCTAATGCACCGTTGGTAAGTGCTCCTGAATGAGGCCTGATTCAAACATGCAAACCTGCGTGCAGCAGAATGAGACATTCCTAGTCTTGTAGCAGCTTCACAATACATGCTGGGTGTAAACCTTCGGCTGCAGTCACGGTGTCTAACCAGTGTTTCACTGGGGGACAATCTGCTCTCAAGGGCCTCTCCAAACTGCTAAAGAGCGGGGATGTCTGTTTTAGGCTAACGTGTGCCTGATCCAAGTCATGGTATTTTTTTTTTTTCTTTCATTGCTTCTTACGTTTTTAAATGTTGGACAATGAATGAAGGTGACAGAAGAAGAATTGGTGCCTTTGAGTTGTGGTGCTGTAAAAGAGCTCTGAGTATCCAACGGCACTAACAAGAACTTTCTGGAGGAAGTGCAATCAGGTGCTTGTTGGAGGTAAGGATGGCAGAACTTCATCTCACATACATTGGACATGTGGTCTGGAGGAGTCAGCCCATAGAGAAAGGCATCGTGCTGGGAAATGTGGAGGGACAGAGACAGAGGGTGAACCCCGACTGGATGGATTAACCCAGTGATTGAGACAATGGGCTTGAGCCTATCAGAGTTGGTTAGGATGGCGCTGGATAAGGCAAGGTTATTACTGATTCATTCTGATTGCACATTTGATCAAATCCAGACTGCAGAAGCAGGTAGAGATCTCCCTTCTCCTCACCTTGCCTTTGGTGGTGGCTGTGAGGCCCTCCTTCTGTGTGTAAGGATATGATCCTTTCCCTGACCATGTTGTGTTCAGGACCGATCTTGAAATGTTCTTTTTGACAACAGATAGGGCACCACACACACACACACACACACACACACACACACACAGACACGAGGTGTCTCTAATCCCAGTAGTAGTTCACACCCTCCACGCACATTTGTTCATGTGACTTGTCCACCCTGGAATTTCCTACATCCCTTTCCCTTATGTTTGTCTTATAGAGAGTCTGGGAGAGTGGCTGAGACATAACAATGTTTTTCCTTGAAACATTCAAGATGAGAAGGACAGTATTTTCCAAGGGGTACAGCTGGGAATTGGATGGGATAGGAAAGAAAGAAGGACGGATGTGAGAAATGCAGGGAGGAAGCGGGAAGATGCTGTTACAGTGTAGGGATTGTACTCACTGTTATGAATTGAGTGTGTGCATTGTTGGCTGGAAACCCAATTTGCTCAGTCAACTTTGGCTCACATCACAATACAATGTTAATTGAAAACAAAACAATATTCATCCCATTCCAGTTCCAAAGCC